AATTTATGGCATGATGTGTATTGTTGACTTCCTCTTCTACCAAGGGGCTGAAATAACTTAATATGGTAGAATTTGATCACATATAGTACTTGTGCAAATAGCAGTATGAATTTAGCTCTTGTTCATCTTCATCCTTTTGCAATACCAAGGGTACATTTCATTTAATGACCTTTCTGGTTAAGCAAAGATTGGTGTTCATTAAATTAAATTCCCAAAAATCCCATTTATAAAATGCACGCACATCGAAATTCTCGTAAGTCAAATCTTATCCTTGTCAACTCGATACCTTGTAGATAGACAAATGATTAAAGAAATCAATGTTTTCGACATCAAACAGCAATAATCATGCCCAAATAGTAAATACCCCATGAATCATAGCCTAAGTTCGCTGAACCTGGTTGTTGGGTCAGTACCATGTCTTAGCCCTTTAGGCATCATCACTATGGCATTTTTCCTTTGGCAACTGTGCCAATTTCCTCGACCTGGGTTCGAGAGCCGTGAAAGCAGTCACTGATGTTTGCATTAAGATAGACTGACTACAATACACTCTTAAAGTGCAACTCTTTCCCGGATCATGCTTGAATACGTAACACTTTGTGCACCGAGCTCTCTTTTTTTTTTTTTTTTTTTTCCAATTGTGCCAGTTTCGAAAATTTTCTTAACATCAAACTATAGTTGGATTTGACATATCAACTTAAGAAACCAACTAATGAAGTGGTTGTAGGAGGCAGGAGCACGCCACAAAATGAGTCTATTTTCGTAAAATGAGACTTCTAATAGATAACAAGATAATGTAAAACATCATTTACGTTCATACATATTCGCATCTTTTGGGTGAAAATCAACGAAATTCTTTACTTATATAACTAATATAAGTATATATATATATATATATATATATATATATATATATATATATATATATATATATATATACACACACACATATATTTTAAAGTATATCTTCTTCATTTTAAATTCATTGACTTTATTAGTTCTAGGTTATATTCGCTTTTAGTCATCTGCTTACAGTCACTTCATCGGGACGAATCTTTATATATAGTTGAAAAGCAAGTGGTCTTAAATATAAATTTTTATGGTACTAGCAGTTCATTGTCAACGATGATTGCACAGTTCATTCTGCCTCACCTAATTCCTACAAATTTATTAATTTGGGCTCCACGTTCTGAAATAATAGTACGCCCCCGGCCCCCCAAGATTTTTAACGGCATTGACTCTTGGATGAATTTAACGGCATTGACTCTTGGATGAATGATTTAGTCACCTAATTGATCTCGTTGATTACTTGATTTAGGCAAGAATTCTTTGTTAATTTGCAGTGGATTGCAAATAATTTGTTTCCGTTAGGCTTGAGTTAAGCAATTGAAAAGTAAAAAAGAAGATTCTCATTGCCACTGGTTAGTAACTTCAAGGTCAGTTGAAAGAAAAGTCAAGATAATGTAAACTGTAAATCATATCATAGCTAATTTAGAAAAAGCAAAAAAAAAAAAAAAAGCCTTGAAAAAGATTCATATGTAAAGCATCTACCTTTGCTTGTGAATGAAAAAGTTAACACAAGAAAAACAAGAAATAGAGCATCAACAGTCAACGGATATCTGAATTTTATCATTAAATCCATATGAAAGAAGAATTACAATTAAAATTATATGATGATCGATAACGTAATAGTGACACCAGAGATCTTGAGCTAGAGTTCTTGGTGTGAATTCGCCTTCCGCAGAAAACGCTCTATCCCTAAAAGTGGGACTTTCTCGGCGCGAATCCAAATTAGTTGAAACCAAAGCCGGGACCGGACATTGGCTGGCAATTTTAAAAAAGAAAAGACACCAATATGAATCTTTGTTTTCCTCCATTAGAGCATTAATTCATTCTGAGTGAAGATTCTGGAGGGAACAGCAAAACGAGCTGAGAAAGATCTTGAGAGGTCATCAGCATCGGACAAGAATGAACCTTGATCAAAATTCTGTGAATAAGAATGAGGATCATATGAAAACTGCATTGATGTGTTTGAGCAATCGAATATACATTTCTTCTGTTTCTTTATCTTCCTCCATAGCAGTCTCCAGATTGGTGTTTTGCTTGTTGATCTGCTCACTGGCAACTTATAGGATACAAAACGGTCGTACTCTAAACCGGAGTAACACCGCCGCGAGCAGACGTACCCGTCGTCTGAATCACACCATGCTCCGGCGTCCATTGTGGTAGATAAAATAGTGTGTGCTTGTGATCTGAAAGTGTTTTGACTTTTTGTGACTCAGTTTTGTAGCATGAAACAAAGTGGTGCACTACTGCTACTTATATATAAAGCAGAATGATGTCTAATAGACTAATATACGTTCCTACTGTCCACAGTGTCCAGTGTCCGGTCTGGTGTAAAATGGTTCAATAGGTGAACCGGCACGTGACATGTTCAAGGATAAACTAGTCATTTACAATAGGGTTGTATTGCTTCTTTGTCTTTGTTTCTTTTCTTTTTACATTAAAAACATCTAATAATCATTGAAATTAAAATTTACTAGATTGTTTGGACTTATTGAGGCGGACCCAAGATTTGAAAGTCATGGGTGTCCTTTTGCATTCAATTAAAATCTGTTTTTGTATATAAGATGTTACTATTTACTAAAGACATATACATGTATACATAGAATTTTTGTCGAACTTTTTGAGTGTCGGTGACCCTTATCTCTGTAACATTAGGTCCGCCATAGGTCAGACAATACTCATGGAGGTAGAATTATATTGAATTGGATCGTTGCCTTTTATTACTATTACTCCCCTAGAGTGTTCGTCCCTTTGTTTTTTCATTTTGTAAAAATTCAAATAAAACTAAATAAATATAGAAGGTTTGTAAAGTAGTTCCTACTAGTTTGAGATTGATTCAAAGATAACGTGGTCATAGTATTATCATGTAAACAAGATTTCCTAGGGATTCAATTATCTCATCAATATTCATGCTATAGTATGAACTGTCTGACTTGAAAAAAGTTTCGCGAAAAAACTTGTTATCAAGTTTTCGATGTGTTTTTCCCATTAGAGTGACACACTCTAGCAGTATTTTCAGCAAGTACAATCCACATAAATTTTCCGCCGGGCCAACGACATTGAAAGGCAAAGAACAAGTTAAATAGCACCTCTCCGTCAAAATTTGGTCTGTGTTACACCTTGAAACTATAACACAGCCAAACGAAGAGTGAACAAGTGGTTGGAATCTTAAAGACTTTAAGAGGTCCAGATTAGCAGATCGATATGTCAAATTTCAAAAGCCACTGATTCCACAGCCTTGTTTATCTTCAATTCTTCATCCATACTTGGCCAACGCCTAATATGCACAAAACCAAGACCCTATCGATCACTCACTAGCCACTAGAATAGCTAAAGAGGAAAAGACAATCCCAGTCGTCACCAGTCCCTATCTGTTATAACTGTCAATCATTATAATTTAAGTTTCTTTTTAATAGATGCACTTTTCCACTTTTATTCTCCTCCTTACCTTCTATTCAATATTCCCGTATATAATATATATATACTGTGTTAGAGGTTGATACACAGTATTCTCCAGTATCCAATGTGTTACCCGAGTGGTGCTCATTGTATTGGTGTTCATGACAAGCCGGGAGAACGCCGTGGGCGCTTTGTCCCTCCTGATACAAGGGAAGATGTGCAGATACAAGCAAGCAGAGTATCAACTGGAAATGGAGCTGCAGTTGGAATGATGAAGCAGTGTGTTTGTTCCCCAACACATCATCCGGGCTCGTTCAGGTGTAGGCACCATCATGCTGATTACAAATGGGTTGCTCAACATGGGAACCAAACCAGTCACTAGACACTGGTGTTGCTACTTTTGCTCCCAAGTCCTTATAAGAAACTCAGCTGTAAAAATTCTTGACATCTGTCCAATATTTCTTTTATTTTGTGCTCTTTCAATAAGATGCGCATAGTTCTTGACACCAAAGATCGACGGTTCAAAGATATCAAATCTATCGATTGACCGAGTATATCCGACATAAGNGTATAGATAATTGCTCTTCTTGTAGCTCTTAGAGAGTTAAGAAGAAAGCAAGCCTCGCGCCGTCATCGTCGTCGCTCGCTCGGCTTCGGCTTCGGCTTTTATTTGTTAATAGTAAATATTAACGTAAGATTATCCGTATTTGTAACGGATATTTTTCAATCCGTGTATTGACCACAAGGCAGCCGCCTAATGCTCTTGCTCCACAAACAAGCTAATGCTTGCTCCACCATGGAGGGTGGACAATTGTTCTTCTTCAACACTGGCTGCTATATATATGTGCAGCAGCTGTTGAAGAAAGACACAACACACAATACACAAGACACAAGACTGAAATCGCTCAACAGATTTGGCTATACATTGCACTCCTTCCTCTCAGCATTTTCATACGATTTTCTGAGTTTCTACTCCTTCGTTCTGCATTGTTTTAACTTCAAACAAAGCAACTGTAAGTGTGATTTGCTACCGAACTTTGTGTTCGCTGAAACACTGGGGTTTGAAGTACCGCTACACCAGTGTGTGATTCGTTCTATCCTGGGAGGAAATAATCTATTACCTTGGGTACTAGGAGGGGATTAAATTCCTTAAGGAAACACTGTGAATTCAGTGGGCTCGAATTAATTACTGTTTCATTACGTTAACTTATATTTTGCAGAATTATTATTTACAAATACAACAATATTGGCGGGACTAACAAAACTTCCAAAGAGTTAAAGAATTATAGTAATAGATTCCTTATTTCTGCAGGATATCCAACAAAAGAACCAGTAAGAAAAACATCAGCCATAAAACTGATGTTTTAACTATCTCAGGGTAACAGTTCTAATGGGCAACTGCTACACTGAAAATGTCGACAAAAATTTTATATGAAACTTTTTCTCTGTGAAAAGATTAGAAAAATGTTAACAAAATCTTCTGTATACGACGCCACTGCTAGAAACTTGTGATGGACTAAGGTTAGGACTCATGAATAGAGAGTCAAATACTCTGTCACTACTCAACATAAAGGCTTTATCTAATGAGCTATTTACAATGAAATGATTTAATAACTGTCAGGAGTTATATACACTGTATCAACTCTTAACATGTATACAAAGAATACGATAAAACAAAAATTTAAGAAGATTGGCCGAGGAATGGAACAGTAATCCAGCTTGTCCTAACTACAAAGTCATTCTTTTGATTTCCCACTGAGATCCGCCAGGCGAGCAACTACCTCATCGTAGTTTGGTACCTTAGGATGAAGCCCATTTGGACCAAACATATCAGGTTGAAAAGAATTTGCTCGAGTGTGCCCTTTCATTAGCTCAGCTGGACTTATTTGTTCCAATTCAACTGGAAGGGATGCTGTTCTGCCTGAAGGACCATCTCGAGTTCTCTGCCTCGGGACTTCATCTTTTGCATTTGTTATGCTATGGTTTTCATGTCCTGAATTTTTATCACCAGACTGTGGCTCCACATGTTTCCTTCTAACCGATTTTGGTTTTGTCTTAGCCTCTTCAACTGCTTCGACGTGTCCATTGTATTCTACTTTGGCCACATGAGCACAACTAAGAGAAGAATCGGAGCTGCTTTCTGTTGTGTTCACTCTTGATTTGGTATGATGATGCCTTGCATTCTCATGATTGAATGTAGCAGCTTCAGATTCTTTATTTTGACCTGATTCAGACATGTGCTCTTGTTCATATAGCTCCTGTTGTAAAGCTTTTGAATTCCATTCTATACCAGATTCTGTTGCTATATCTTGCATTAACTGTACCTTCATATCCTTTTTATGTGGTACTGGCTTTAATTTTTCAGCAAACTGTCAAGAAAAAGGAGGAAATAGGAATCACATGAGAAAGTTAATGCATGAATATTATCTGCTGCTGAAGAAATGAGTACTACCTGTTTACTGACATAAAATTCAAGGGAATTTCCATATCTCTCAGAAAATATCGTTCTGAGTTGACGTAATTCAGGCAGGTCCGCTAGTCTTGCTGCTGCAAACATCAAAGATGCCACAGCTTCCCTGCAATTCTCAGGGCATTCCCTAAAAGATGGATAACATATTAACTTGTCTTCACTACACACAATATAAAAGGGCAGCCCGGTGCACAAGGCATCCCGCGTTCATGCGGGGTTTGGGGAAGGGCCAAGGGGTGTGATATAGACAGCCTACCCTGATGCAAGAATTAGTGGCTGCTTTCGCGGCTCGAACCCGTGACCTATAGGTCACACAGAGACAACTTTACCGTTGGTCTAATGCTCTCCTTCTTCAGTACACACAATATAATTAACCATTTATGTTTTCTATTCTTATGAGACACCAAATAAAATAATGTAAGATTTACCTCTGTTGAATCATGGTTTCAAGGTGACTAAAGACATGGTCACAATATTGCTCCAAGATATCATAACAGCTCAAGAGATTCAGCTCAACTAGAAGGCCTTCAGTCTGTTGCATTAAAACAAAATCTGTAAAGCTTTCCATTTGATCGCTCGCCTTGTCCACATTATCATGCAAAAGGAATATTATTGACAAGTCTTTAAACAATTTCCAGATTCAGACTTATAGGAGTTTTATTGAATAAATGATGTAGAATATTTGGGAATTACCCTGTCGTAGGCATTGACATCCAATCCAGATTTAAGAAGGTCGGCTATATCATTCTTCAAGTATTTCTGCATTGCATTTCTCTTCTTCCTTACCATTTCGATTCGAGTTTTCATCTGCCTGATTGTAGACTTGCTGTACCAGAGAATTCCCAAAAGAATATGAGAACATTTAATAGGCAAACAAAAAGTAACTTTCTTAATTTGAAAATAATCAAAACAGAGATCATTCTTACCATTTGGAGTAAAACTTATTTCTCTTCCACGAGTCCAACATTTTGAATTTTCTTTAGTACGCACCTAGGAGGTTACAATATTATAATGACAAGGATACAATTATTATGATCCAAATGCATCTCAATCGCGCAAGAATCAACATGGAAAGCCGATCATAAGGAAAGAAAAGAAAACTAACTCCTTTGTTAGGACAAGAAAAAAAGAAACCTTTATATATGAAGGAGACAAGAACGTAATCTCGAGTTTAGGAGAAGCTCATATATTAAGGAGTTACTATAATTTAGAATCTAAATCGCCATAAAAGAAGTGGAAGAAAAATATTAGTCCAGCTATATTCTATGGGGTCTTGTCGGATAACGGACAATGCAGTGGTTTTACTGTGATGCCCTTGTTATTCCACGTGTGTGTTGCCGGTTGTGGACGAAGGGGAAGGGTAGTATGGTAAATCTATAGGCCCAATGAAATACGTAGTTGGCGGGTTTACATGGGATTTGATAGACTGGGAGTGCAAACCGCGGGAGACGAACCGTTGAGGATCAGCTCCTCTTTCACGGTTTCACCTTCCAACCTTAAATGTTCTTTTTTTTTTAATTATATTTTTTTCTATATTTTTCTTTCTTTTTTTTTCTCTTTTACTTTGGGGTGAGTTGCTGTGAATAGTGCTTTACCACTGCAACTGTAGCGATCTTTAGAGGCTCATCCAACATTTTAATTTGATGGATCCAATTTTTATATTTTACTACTGAACTCATTGCACATTAAAAATTATGGGTTTAGAATGTACTACAATATTTATTAAGATTTTGATGATATTATATATATATATAAGCCACGTATAAAATTATGGGTTGAACTTGTAGCCCGTGAACTATATCTGCCTCACGCGATCTTATCCTTCCAAAACCTCGAACAGCTAGCCTTGAGCCCTTAACTCATACTTAGAGCCCGTTTGGATTGTCTTAAAAAAAGTTATTTTTCAGCAAAAAAAAAGTTTTAAGTCAAAAAACAATAAATTAGGGTTGCCCACAAAGACAGATCTAGAATTTTTATAATATGAGTGCACCACTAAAGAAAAGAGAAAAATAAAGTATTAAGAGGACTTGATCCCTACTTCTCTAGGTAAATAACTCAGCATTCAACCAAAAACATCATTTAGCCTCTTTGGAGCATGGGTGACAACAGATAATATTAGACCAATTCTAAAAAATATGCACATAAAATATCTAGTTTGACGGAGAGATTATGGGTTCACGTGACTCATATATTGAATTATAAATCCGCCTCTCATCGCCTAACTTATTGCTTTTGGCTTATTTTAAACACTTTTTAACTTTGCCAAACTCTAAAAAAGCTAAAAAAAATTTAAAAACTGATTTGACCAGCTTAAATGCCAATCCAAACACCCTCATAGTTTCATTTAGGGCTGTTTAATGGTACGGTATTACATGTACGGCTGTACCCGTACCAGATTGTACCGGTACCGGACCATACCACTCCGGTGATTGGGTAGGGGTGGAGGTTAGGGTAATGGTAGGATACCCGATTTAGTACCTTTAGTACTAGTACCAGAAGTACCCTTAAGGTACCGTACCGGTACCGCACCCGTACCGGTACCCAAGAGAATTATTTTTTATAATATAGTCGTTTTTGTACCGTTAAAATATGAAAGGGACTATTTTTGCCTCCCTAGCCCCCCAACATCCCCCTAACCCCTAATTTATATTTTTAACCCCTAAGTTTATTCAAATACACTTTAACCCTATTTTAAAACTATAAATACCCCATTTCATTCTTTCAATTTTCATTCAAACACTCTCATATCTCCTTAATTCTCTATCTCTCTTTATCTGTAATTGCAATTAATGTCGATCAGGTCATCAGCGTTTGGTACATTCGTTCCAACTCATATTAATTTTTGCATTTATTTTTGTTATACTTGTGTTGTTATTTGTTGTAATTTTAATAATTTATTATTAAAAATAGCTACTAAACTGAAGAAAAAAAAGGTGTAATAGATATACTAAGGATAATGCTAGGAAGGGGGGTCCTAGTTTTGAAATAAATCCTAACCAGTCCGGATTTAAGAGTTACATACAAGAAATATATAATCCTGCTTTTCTAGGTTTTCCTAGAACAATTGTTAGAAATAATGTTTGCGATGAAGACTTGCTGAAATATTTGAAGAGAAGAAATTTTGGCCTTCCAGAAATAATTCAAGAAGACAACGATGCATGTAGTGAAATAGTACTATCTATTGGAGACAACATAGAAGCAGAAGAATAAGTGCTATCAATTTCAAGCGAAGAACCAATAGAAACTATTGAAAATCTACGTAAATTGAAAAAACATATGTAATTTTATTTTTATAAGTATTGAAATAAAAGTATTGAATTTATCATCCATTAAAGTTTTTTTGTATTTTAAAAAAAATTAATTTTTAATTTAAAATTATCCCTAAGTACCCATAAAGTATACCGCACCCTTAAGTACCGCACCTTTAAGGACCGGTAGGGGTACTGGTAGGTACCCAAAAAAATACCCTTAACCCGTACCCTTAAATATCGTTAAGAAAAGTACCCTTAAGGAACCCTCCCCATACACTTAACTGTCACGACCCAAAATCCCACCACAGGCGTCATGATGGTACTTAGTCTCTAAGACTAGGTAAGCCAAGTACAATTACATTTCAAGCCATTTTTTTTAAAATATTAATTAAATAGGTAATCAAAACCAACAACGGAAACAAATATGAAAACCTTCCAAGACTGGTAATACTGAGTCACGAACTCTAACTGAATACATGAAATGATATCAAGGATCGAATACTCCATACTGTTTGAATAATAATTAATAGTATAATAAAATGGAAAGACTCCAAGGAACTGCGATGACCAAGCAGCTCTACCTTGAATCCTTGCGATCCCACTCTAACTCTGTCCGAGTCCGGTATCTTCAATACCTGGCTCTGCATAAAAATGTGTAGAAGTGTAATGAGTACACCACGGTCGGTACCTAGTAAGTATCAAGACTAACCTCAGTGGAGTAGTGACGAGGTACAGTCAAGACACTCAATAGTCTAATAACTTGTGCAATATAGTATACAAAAATAATATGAAATAAATAACAATGATGGCAACACTAATCAACAAGTGATATACATAGCAGGGCAACAAGAACACTATTAATATTACTCAGCAAATAATGAGTACAAGTACAACCAATTAATCAAGTCCTTCAAATATAAATCTTTCGCCTATATGCTTTTCAAATAATAATCTTTAGGATATAATACTTTTCAATAAATATATTTCGAATAGACTCCCTTTAAATAAATATCTTTCAAATATAATTCTTTCAAATAAATCTCTTTCAGATATAATTCCTTCAAATAAATATCTTCAAAAATAATTCTTTCAAATAAATCTCTTACAAATAAATATCTTTCGAATATAATTCTTTCAAGTAAAAGTCACCATGTGACACCTCATTTAACTTTCCTGGTATGAGAAATATATTCAATATATCACATCAAATAGCACGGCAATACCTTCGTGCACTTGTCTCATTCTCACCCAATGTATATATGTAGATCAAATCAATTGGCATGACAACACCCTTCGTGCATTTATCTCTTTCTCATCGTTCTTACATATAACAGTATCAACTAGGTGGGGGAAATGCCAATAACAATAGAAGAAATAAAGTGGGAGGCACACAGGAAGCAACCACGACTACAAGTCACATAGAAAACATAGGTGCACAATCATCTCAAGATAAAAGCATGAATGCATACATAACGAAAAGATATCGCAATATAATGTATGTCTCTTATCCTCGCCTGCACCGAAACACCCTTCGTGCCATGAATATATGATAATATAAAAATAATGGCACAACATCACCCTCCGTGCTTTTACTCTCATCCTCAACTGATAATATAAATAAAATGGCACGGCATCATCCTTCGTGATTTTACACTCTCAATGGCACGATATCACCCTTCGTGCTTTACACTCTCAAATGGCACGGCATCACCCTTCGTGCTTTACACTCTCCCTCACATGATAATATAATTCAAATGGTATGACATTACCCTTCGTGCTTTACACTCTCAAATGGCACGACATCACCCTTCGTGTTTTACACTCTTCCTTACCAAGCACATGTATATCATTAACAAGTAAGGTGGGAAGAATAAATAATATCAAGAAGAGTGTTTAAACCACAACACAATACAATAATTCATATCACAATTTGCCACTGACCACAACCAAATTCGAAATATGTATCAGAATCAATAAATTTCTCAACAAATAGCCTAAGGCTCCACACAACGTATATAAAACCTCAAAATAGTCAACAGAGGTAAAAAATACTCAATATAGGGAAACGCCTTCATTAATCCAAATTCTTGATAATTATATTAACTTCTCAATTTAAACTTATTTAATAAATATTTGCAGATAAGTATTCCATCATGAATTTAATTCCAAGAAAAATATCAAATCGACAAACACACGGAATTCACATAAAATCCAAGTGAATAACACCAAATTATTATATAAAATACAAACTCGACAAATAAGAAATTAGGTGTGATAATTCAAGGCTTTACCAAATGCCAACAATTATCCAATTTAATACATAAAAATGCCGACAACTTCAAACCAATAAAATTTGCACATATAAGCCCGAGTGCGTACTTGTCACCTCGCGTACACGGCTTTCAATCATACAATTTCCACATAAGACTCAATGCCTAAGGGGTAATTTCCCCACTCAAGGTTAGGCAAGATACTTACCTTTTTGAAGTTATGCCGATATTTCAAAATCGCCTTCTAGCTTGAATTGACCTCCAGGCCGCTCAAATCTATCCGAATTAATTGTATAACTTTATTAAAATTCATCAAAAATAATTCCGGATAATAAAACGTCGACTTAAAAATTTATTCTAAAAAAGTCAACAAAAGTCAATGCGGGGCCCGCGTCTCGGAACTCGACATAATTTTTACGAAATACGAACACTCATTCCGATATGAGTTCAACCATACCAATTTTATCGAATTCCAATACCAAATCGTCCTCCAAATCTTGAATTTCCATTTTTGAAAAGTTTTTACAAAAATCTCCAATTTCCTCCATTAAACTCGAATTAAACGATGAATATAACCATAGATTCATGAAATATAATCACTTTAAGATATAGAACACTTACCCCAACCAAGCTTGTGAAAAGTCCCTCCAGAATCGCCCAAATCCGAGCTCTAAAAATTTCAAA